AGAGGCACTCAAAACTGAAGAATCTTGGAGGGAGACTAGCAGAAGCAGTTTTACTCCTAGAAATTGATTCTCTCTTACTCTGTCCCCAAGCCTGAAATAAAATTGCTTCCATTGAATAAAAATGTCCAACTTGAGTATGTGAATATGTCTGTGTAAGTCTACTGTTGTCTGACAACTAAGAAAATGAATAGCTGAGAGAAAAAAAAGGGAGGGCTAGTTCCAGCAGGGATCCTACACTGGCCATTTACTCACCAAGACCCTAACCCCAACTCCCCATAAACACCTTTGCCAGGGCTGCTTTGATTTCTCTGTTCTGAAGACTATAGATGTAGGGATTTAGTGTTGGAGCCACCACAGAGAACATGACTATGGCCATAAGATCTTGGTATTCCTCTTGACCTTCAGTTTCTGCTGGAGGCTGTAGGTAGACACTCACCACAGTTCCATAGAAAAGTATAACTACAGTTAGATGGGATCCACAAGTGGAAAATGCCTTGCGGAAACCCCCAGGGGCTCGAACTTGACAAACAGCAGTTCCAGTGAAGACATAAGAGGCCATAATGCAAAGAGCAGGCCCAATGATTACAAGGCCACCCTCAACTATAACCATCATGTAGTTGAGGGAGGTGTCAGAGCAGGCAAGATGTAACAAAGGATGGAGACCACAGAAGAAGTATGGGAGAGCATGATTGTTACAGAAGGTCAGACGAGCAAGGAGAGCTGTGTGGAGCAGAGAATGCAGAGCTGTGCCCACCCACACAGCCCCCAGGAGCACCACACATCGTGGCAGGGTCACCACAGTAGCATAGTGCAGTGGTTTGCATATGGCCACATATCGGTCCCATGCCATGGCAGCTAACACATAGCTGTCCACATTGCCTGCCATCAGGAAAAAGAAGACTTGGGACAGGCATGCTGAATGGGTGATGGTCTGGTCCCCTGTCAGCAGGGCATAGAGGAGCCTGGGCATTGTAGCAGAGGTGAAGCAGAGATCTGCCAGGGACAGGTTGACCAGAAACACATACATGGGTGAATGGAGGCGTGGGTCTGAGCCAACAGCAACAAGGATCAGCAGGTTTCCTAGGAGAGCTGCCAGGTATAGGGCTAGGAATAGTGGGAACAGGAGTTCTTGGTGACTGGAGAAGGCCAGGAGGAGGAATTCATAGGTGCTGGTCTGATTTTCCATCATTATGTTACTGTTGAGTCTGAGCCTGGATTGGGGAGATGAAGAGATGGATTGAGAGAGAGTCCCACAGCTAATCCACCCAAAAGGTGGAATATTTAGCCTCATTATGGCCTTTCAAAAGTGTTTTTCATAGCCTTAAGAGATTTCAAAGACTTCTTAGCTATGGTAGTATAATTGGCATAAGTCTATAAGTTCTAAAGATCACTACTGATCATCAAGTCATATGCAAAGTACATGTTGTTAAGTTATGGTAGAAAAAAAAAAACAAGTCTTTACTTCTTTTTTTCTCCTGGAGGGCCTAACATAGTGTCCTATACCCCTAATTTCCCTGGAAGGGATATGCATGTGCCAATTCATTTCCATAAGTTTGTTTAAATTCTAAATTTCCAGTTGCTCCTTGAATGCATCTACTGACTTTGACCATCAACCAAGCACCGCTAGAATAGTGATCCTGTAAAGAAATACTACGGGCAGGAAGGGGGTGACATTGCCACTCTGACCCAGACTCATTTCCTACAGATTATCTTTATGTCTTTATAGCCCTGTGCACCAGATCTTCTGAGGTTCTAGTCTTGACTTGA